TGTTTTTTTGTTTGTTTGTTTGTTTTCTGTTGTTTTTTTTCTATGTTTTTCTTTTTAAATTATTGGCTATAACAAACAAAATTATTCTACTTTTATTTCATTTTTATATTGTTTTTATTCGGTACTAAATGTTTGTAATACTCCCAGTAGTCCAGTATACAACTGCCTTAGGTATTTTAAATTGGTGCATTTTTTTTTTAATCCCAGCTAATGGAACATACCCTCACACCTTCTCGCTAAACCTCCCCCCTAATCATTACTCACACCTCCCCCACTCTTTTAATCACAGCATTCATCCTAAGAGTATGGGGGGAGGGTAGGAATGGGGTGAACGGATGGAACAAACAGATCTTCTCTATGATTGATACTATGAATCAGCATTCTCAGGTTTCCACCGTTTCGCTAATTGAAAAACGGATCGTTCCATCAGAAAAAGAGGTTGCCCCTGAGTCCCAAAAAGGGCTTTATTAATAATCTTTTAGGGGGTGAGTCTCCATGCTGATCCATCCCCTCTCCCCCCCATCTCAATCTCCCACACCGACCAATCAATGTGTGCTATCTGGCTCACCACTGAAATCATCACCTCATCAACGCTGCTATTGAGGGATGATCCAGATAGAATCGTCGAATCGGAATCAAATGATGTGATTTGATGATAGATAAGTACTGGTGGCGCCATCTACAATATATAACGTGTACTAAAATTATATTGCTGCTATATAGGTTCGATTTATTTAAGACTTAATTAAATTAATAAAACAGTTTAGTTATTTTACTGTTAGTAATTAAATTTATTAAAACTAAACAAAGGTTAATTGTTAACTTAAACAAATAAAACTTTTAATTTAACTATTAATTTAAATGTTTTATTTGTTTAGCAAATTTTAGTTTTTTAATTTTTCATTTATTTATTATTATTATTTTTGTTTTTTGTTCCATGGAACCCTTTTGCCAGTAAGATGAAAGCCATGGAAACCGATTTTAAGGATAACATTTTAAAATATGTACAATAAAATGAAATGAATTCAGTTATGTTAAGAAAAAGTAGCAAAAAAAATGGATACAGTAATGAAACATGAGATTTATTTAAAGTGCCAAATAAATATTGATATATGTATACTATAATGCGTGTGTTCCAACATAACTTAAAGACTATAACGCTAAGTACCTTAATTTTTTTTCACTGAGTTTACTGTTCTTTTATCAGGTGTATAACTGAAAATCATTTATAAACACTTTTTGTATTAAGGTAAAATTGTTTGTGTTGTTGTTGTTGTTGTTTCTTATCCCACTTGGCTGGCCAAGCCCATGAGCCCATACGTACTCATGATTGAAGGGGAAGGAAGCAGCTTCTGTTGTGATGGAGCACCCGTAGGTAGAAGCCTGACTTTTGCTCCGTGACGCTCTTACAGTCATAGGAGACTGGGACCTACAGCTTAAAGTGGATTCCGAACCACTACAAACATCCATGGCACCGCCGGGATTCGAACCCGAAACCTGTGGCACCGAGCGCCAGAGCGTTAGACACTCGGCCATTCAGGTCCCAAATTTGCCAACGGCACGCGGTGTTCCCAGGTGGTCACCCACCCAAGTACTGACCGCGCCCAATGATGCTTGACTTCGGTGATCTAACGAGAACCGGTATATTCAGCATGGTACAGCCGTTGGCTAAATTGTTTGTAATTATTATATACTTCATGTGTTGTGGTGATATATTTTATGTGTGTCCATTGGAAGGGCATATATGATGGGTTCAAAAAAAGAACAGCTTTTTTTATATTTAAAAAATATATTTATGCATAAATACATATTGAAACCCATATCGACACGACAACTGTCGTTTAACACCATTAGTCACGTGGCTGAAAATCGTGGTATCGAGATAGCCATGTTTTCGACATCATTTATTTGAAGAATTACGATAACAATACATTGGATGAACAGAAGTGGATAAGATCAATTCTATGTTGCAAGTTATTTGAGTGTGATCCTTTCTATTATTCGTGAAATGTGGAAAGCAATTATTCTTTGGCAAATTAATTGCAAATTAGCGATTAGGCTTTGGCAAACGAACAGAATTAGACTTTTGATGGTACAGTCGAGGAAGAGCTAGAAATACAAATGCCGACAATGAAATGCTTCACCAAAAACTACTTGCACCTAAAATCTTTTTTTACATCAACCACTAGATGACTGGTATCCAGATTAATTGTGTACAGAAGTCTTCACGATGAGAGATTGATATTCATACCAATCCTCATGATATCCAGCATTATGTGTACTCCTCACACTATGCCATCGAAATTAAAGATTTAATTGGGAAAGCACACATAGAGTACAAATCAATGTAGGTGTGTATCATTAATGATAAGTTCAGATTTTGTTTGAAAATCACTCAAGAAGGATGGCCTAAGGGGAGCAGGAAACCCTCTATTAATCAGTCATATTAATGAAAGAGATTGATGGGTTCAATGTATATGAGAGGTCAGATACTCGTATATCTTTGGATGGCCAACTTGTTCTATACACTGTCCAAAGAGGCACCGTTATTGTCCAGTTATATAGACGTGTCATTCCTCACCTAATTGTTTATCCTTACACAGGTGCAGTCGGTGTCGTCTGCATTCTACAAGACGATAGTAGATCACACATAGTTTGATCAGTGAAGAACTATCTTCGAGCTGAGTAACTAGCTCTCCGACTCTCGGTACCACAGATTTTGGGTTCGAATCCCGGTGGTGCCCTGAATGCCTGTAGTGGTTCAGAATCCCCTTTAAGTCATAGGTTCCAGTCTAATATGATTGTAGAGTGTTCCTCCTTGAGCCCAACGTATCACCATAAACATAGACTTTCAATTAAGCTTTGCCTTGGAACTGGAAACTGGGTTCAAGCTAAACCAGTTCCATGAATGCAATGCACTGCTAACAGGGAGTTACGGTCGAGATCTGCAAGTAGACAAAATTACCTGCAGTATCAGTCTCTATGTGTCGAGTTTAGTTTAGTTTGGTTTGTTGCTCTACGGTCATCTTGGGCACACGAGGGCTAAACAGACCAGTTTAAAGTGGATTCCGAACCACTAACAAACGTCCAAGTGACTGCCAGGATTCTAACCTAGAGCCTGTGGTACCAAAGGCCAGAGCGCTAGCCAATTGGTCATCAGGCCGCTCTATGTACCGAGAGTGCTTTTTTACTATTCAAGACATATTGCATAAATCGGTATTAATTTTCATTTAAGAAGCTTTTCTTTTTTTTTCACATTCAGCTGTAAAACAGTATGAATCAAAAATCCTAAACACCTGTTCATGACATAGGCCTTTCATGCCTAGGTGCAGGAAAAGTTCGTATAAATTCTAGCTCTTAAGTCTGTTTGAAAATATTGGAATTAATTGGATCACTAATATTAACAAAAGCGGGCCTGAATGGCCGAGTGGCTAGCGCTCTGGCGCTTTGTACCACATGTTTCGGGTTCGAGTCCCGGCGGTGCCATGAATGTTTGTAGTGGTTCGGAATCCACTTTAAACCGTAGGTCCCGGTCTAATAGGGTTGTAGAGCGTTGCGGGGGCATTGTTGCTCCGCGTCCGTGGCTTATCTTCAAGTTACACTCGCCCCCTGGATAATGCAAAGTGAGTAACGTCTGTGCAGCGCTTGCCTTAAGGCATCCAAGACTAAGCTGTCTAACTGTTTTCCAGCTGCATTAGAAAGAAAAAAAGTATTAACCAAAGCGTAAGTGTTTAATGAATATATGATCCCTCAATGACATGCCTAAATCATGTGATATCAGAAACATCAATTTATGATAATCTAAAAGATTTATAAATTGATAAATATAAATTGCCTTTTATTTTTGCCAAGCTTTTTCGATACAAAAAAAACATTGCGATATCTTGCAAGCCAAAACGCTACTACAACTATCATAACATACAAATTATACTACCATGCGTTCGGTTAAAATAGTAGGGCAGCAAACAACAATCAAATGGTCTCTGAAATACATCTTTATCCGCGCAAACGATTCGGGCTGTGTTGCCAGTCGAAAAGAAGAAAAAAACAAACCCCGGAATCTTCGCTGTTGCAGTTAACGCCACGCGCAGCAGAAGTCTTCCGCCAGAATCGTGTTTGCACATACTCCGCTACAATTGATCTCAGTCACAAAGCAAATTTTATGCCCCTTTTCAGATATGTATCGAACACAAAAAGAGGACGATTTCAACCACTTTCGGTCACGTGACTTCCCATAATGGAATACATTTTTTTTTTTTTTTCGGTTTCAAAAGAATGGGTCTTGTGTCAACAGAAGAACTGTGGTTTCCAATCATGCAACAGAAAGATTAGGCGTTCCCCTATCTCTGTTTTGTTTCTTGGTGAAGAGGATTTTTTTTTCTTTTCGACAACCATGGCTAAAACTGGTATATATTACCTCTGATGTTGCTTTAATAACTTTTTATTTCTTCTTTTTTTTTTTTGTTCCTTGCCATAACGTCAAAATAAATATGAATGATCATAATACGATGGCTAACATAATACTGACGGCCAATGGCTACCAACTCTGATCTTTAATACCGCAGGCTTCAGCTTCGAATCCTGGCAGTGTCATGGATGTTTATGAGTCGTTCGGAATCCACGTTAAACCGTAGGTACCAGTCTAATAAGTCTAAAGTGTGCACAAAAGGACTGTAGAGCGACAAACAAAACAAAACCAATATTCAAAGAAGAAATGTTTAACTATTCAAATACTTGATAGAATTGTGCTGATTCTTGGGGAAATATAAAATGTATTTTTGTTACAACATTGAATTTTTTATTATTTTTTTAGATTTTAAAAGATTTCTTATTAGTATGAAGGAGCACCCGTAGGTAGACTGACTTTGGCACCGTGACGTTCTTACAGTCATAGGAGACCGCTACAAACATCCATGGCACCGCCGGGATTCGAACCCGAAACCTGTGGGCACCGAGCGCCAGAGCGCTAGACACTCGGCCATTCAGGTCCCAAATTTGCCAACGACACGCGGTGTTCCCAGGTGGTCACCCACCCAAGTACTGACCGCGCCCAATGATGCTTGACTTCGGTGATCTAACGAGAACCGGTATATTCAGCATGGTACGGCCGTTGGCACTATAAGTGTTTAAACCAATTAATGTTGTCGAAATAACTTGGATATCTTTCTTCAAACAAGACAAAATCCTGGGTACAAATCTTTCATAAAGGTATGTAATAATGTGTGATGAAAACATTAAGTGTTTAAACCAATTGATGTTTTCATCACACATTATTACATACCTTTATGAAACATTTTCACCCAGGATTTTGTCTTGTTTGAAGAAAGATATCCAAGTTATTTCGAATTATTTGGTATTCTCTTTGAATTTCTTTCATCTTTTTCTTCATTGGTGCAACAGCCCCATGGTGGGCCAATACCGTCTGCCTACTGGAAGATTTTGAGACAGGAGATATTTTCTTTTTTCAAGGTAGGATTATCAACCCTACACCCAACAGTCATATTAGACAAAATGTCTCGGGAAGTCATAGTAGACAAAACCGGAATTACGGTTTGAAATGGATTCCGAACTACTACAAACATCCATGACTCCTCCAGGACTCAAAGCGGAAACCTGTGGCACCGAGCTCCAGAGCACTGCGGCCTAATAGCCAATTGGCCAGCGCTCTGCGCTTTCGTACCACAGGCTGCAAATTCGAATCCTGGCGATGGCATGGATGTTTATTAGTGGTTCGAAATCCACGTTAAATTGTAGGTCCCAGCCTAATTAGCCTAAAGTGTGCACAAAATGACAACCAAAACCAAACCAAATCCAAAGACATAGTCACTAGGTCATCAAACCCTTTTGTATTTCTAATTAAACAAATTATATTATATTTGTATCGATAATTATACGCCTCAAATAAGAAATATGCAAATGTTTTTAAAAACTATTCTTAAAAATTATCCTTTTTTTAAAAAAATAAAAAACATTGTATCAAAACTAATTCAATACAAATAAACAAATTTTGCATTAAAAATTAAAACTGTTACCAGAAATTTCACCAGTCTACCCAGGTGTTAATTCGTATCCACAATGTCTACGAAATCCTTTTTTATCTTCATATGAATCGAAAATTCAATACTTCACTACATTCAATACAAGACGCGAACAATGGCAATCAGCAACAGATGTTATTTAAATAATTGTTGTATATCATTCTTTGTGTTTGCCAATTGCTGATTTCCTGTCTTCCATACACATATAAATATACACCTCTAGTACGTTGCACTAGATAGTCATAATAACTTCTCGTTTATTTTTTTCACCAAGGAGGTGATCTACGAAAATTATTCGTCTATGACTGCATAGCGTGCCGGGTGCATAAAAGACGAAAAACATAAACACCAAACTTTTGCAATCCCCAAACAGGACTCGTCTTTTGTTCCACATTGGACAATGAAGACACGGAATGTATCGTTTGGCCACACGCGATTGGTGGAGAGCTCACCGCCCCGATGCATTATCATCACCATTTCCCAATTACGTAATTGCCATAGGCTGGCTTCTGGTGGATCTATGAAGTGACAACGGGTGTTATAACAAAAAAAGGCACAGAAATCAAAGGCTTTTGGAAAATCTTTTTCCTTTTTGTATCAATGGCCGCATTCATAAAGCAACAGAGACCAGAGAAAATATACATATTGCGAATGATTGACAGGTGCCGAGATCACGAAATCTCTTTTGTCTGTCCCACAATTTCGTTAAATGCGCCCCGCTCGGAGGTTTTTTCGGACAGCATGTGTCGTCGCATGCGTTGAGCGTGCCATGACAAATTTTCTAACGCCGAGTAAACAAGCTCTGTATGCAGATGCCATTATGAAGATTTGCGGTAGATGTGTAATCACTGAGGTTTGGCATGAGCTAAATGAGCACCATAATGAAAAAGGAAAAAGAGTTAGGTTTCATGACATTCGATTTTGCTGATCTGAAACCTTATGGTATAAAAATCAGAAAGAAAAAAATTACATAGATCAAACAAAAATTCTAAAAATTATCTTTATATTTGGTTGTTATATCATTCTAGCTTATTAAAAAGGTTTCACGCTGAACCATGATTTGTTTTGGAAAACATCAAGTTTTGAAAATAAGCGACGATTTCTAAAAATTGTCTTTATATTTCGTGGTTATATCATTCTAGCTGATCAAAAAAAAAGGTTTCACGCTGAACCATGATTTGTTTTCAACACATCAAGTTTTGAAAATGCTGGCGTTATAGTTTTCAAGTTTAAGTAACGATTTTTAAAACTTATCTTTATATTTCCTTGTTATACTATCCTTCTAGCTTATTAAAAAATTTTACTATCCACCATGATTTGTTTATAAAACATAAAGTTTTGAAAATTACTCTCAATCGTGATTTGTTTTGGAAAACATTTTTTTTTTCTTTCTAATGCCTGGCAAACACAGACAGCTTGGTCTTGGATGCCTTAAGGCAAATGCTGCACAGACGTACTCACTTTGCATTACCCAGGGGGCTCGTGTAACTTGAAGAAAGCCACGGACGCGGAGTAACAATGCCCCCGCAACGCTCTACGATCCTATTAGACCTTGACCTACTTTTTAAAGTGGATTCCGAACCACTACAAACAATCATGGCACCGCCGGGACTCGAACGCGAAACCTGTGGAACCGAACGCCAGCCACTCGGCCATTCGGGCCCGTTTAAGAAAACATCAAGTTTTGAAAATAAGTGACGATTTCTAAAAATTATCTTTATATTTTGTTATATCATTCTAGCTTATTGAAACGAGCTTTAATCTCAAACATGATTTTTTTTTCAAAACATCAAGTTGTGAAAATACTTGTGTTGTAGTTTTCACGCTTAGTTATGGTTTTCAAGCTTTTTAGTGTCAATTTCTAGAAATTATAGTTTTCATCAAATTTTATGTAATGATTTCTAAAAATTATCTTTGTATTTCGTTGTTGTATAATTCTAGATTATCAAAAAACATTTTGCTCTCAGCCATGATTTGTTTTCAAAACATCAGGTTTTAAAACTAAAGGCTCCTTTTTCTTTTTTCCTTTTTGTATCATTGGAGGTATTCATAAAGCAATGGAGGACAGAGAAAATATAATAGGTCGGCTGAAATGTTCATAGGCTGACACATAGATGGCACTACTAGTATTAAATCCATATGATTTTTAGTTAGCCCTAACCTTCAAAAGACACGTGTATAAATTTGACAGCTGTTGCACTATTAGTATGTGAGTTATAGCATTTATAGTGAGCAACTTTTGTTAGTTTGAAAAAATGGATAAGAAGGAATTTCGTGTGTTGCATAAAGCATTGTTTTTGGGCGAAAAAAAAAATACTATTGAAGCCAAGGCGTGGCTTGATAAACATTATTCGGACTTTGCACCAGGAAAATCAACCGTAGAGAAGTGGTTTGCTAATTTTAAATGAGCCGAAATCAGCACCGAGGACGATGCACGCAGTGGACGCCCCAAAGAGGCTATTACCGACGAAAACATCAAAAAAGTCCACAAAATAATTTCTAATAACCGTAAAGTGAAGTTGATTGAGATAGCGCAGACCCTAAAGATATCAAAGGAACGTGTTGGACATATCGTGAATGAATATTTGGATATGCGAAAGCTCTGTTCAAAGTGGGTGCGCGCGAGTTTATAATCGACCCAAAACAACAACGAATGGATGATTCTAAACAGTGTTTGGAGCTGTTCAATCGTAATAAACCCGAATTTTTGCATCGATATGTGACAATGGATGAAACATGGCTCCATCATTTCACACCGGAGTCCAATCGACAGTCAGCCGAGTGCACTGCACGTGATGAACACTAAAAATGCTATAACTTCACTAAAAATGCTGTAACTCACATACTAATAGTGCAACAGCTGTCAAATTTGTACACGTATCTTTTGAAGGTTAGGGCTAACTAAAAATCATATGCATTTAATACTAGTAGCGCCATCTATGTATCAGCCTATGAATTTTTCAGCCTGCCTGTGACATATTGTGAATGATTGACGGGTGCCGAAATCACGAAATGTCTTTTGTTTGTCTCACAATTTCGTTAAATGCGCCCCGCTCGGAGGTTTTTTCGGACAGCATGTGTCGTCGCATGCATCGAGCGTGCCATGACAAATTTTTTAACGCCGAGTAAACAAGCTGTGTATGCAGATGCCATTATGAAGATTTCTGGTAGAGATGTAATCACTGAGGTTTGGCATGAGCTAAATGAGCACCACATTGAAAAAAAGAAATGATGACTATAACTAGCAATGGTTACGATTTTTCTGTTCTATAATGTTATGGGATATAAGACAATAAGAAAAAAAATTATACATATCAAAAAAATTCTGAAAATTAACTTTATATTTCGTTGTTATATCATTCTAGATAGTTAATAAATGAATAGTTTAAAAAAACTAAAAAACACGCTTTTAGAGTTAATCCATCTAAAAAGTAAAAAATAATTGTTAGCATAAGAATAAAATGACTGACGAGAAAATGAATGTCACTGCTCTAAAAGCGTGGGGTGCTCGATATCAATCGTTATAATTTTTCACTCGTTTCATTCCGAAATTCAGAGTTAGTTTAAAAATGTCATTCAAAGCACCCCAAGCTTTTAGAACAGTGACATTCATTTTCTCGTCAGTCATTTTATTCTAATGTTAACAATTATTTTTTACTTTTTAGTTTGATTAACTCTAAAAGCGTGTTTTTTTGTGTTTTTAAACTATAATATTTAAATGAGGTCCCGGTATGGAGGAGTGGAACTATAGTTCTTACAATAATGTAATTGTGAGTAAAACAAAGGCTATCGCTTAAAGTAGGGCAAAATCGAACCCAAAGAGTCAGTTACAAACATGCAGGTGAAACTAATATAAAATATTAAAAATAACCAACTGTTTTGATTCTGAAAGATGCCTGTAAATGCTTCTTTGCAGCTTAAATAGTGTATATGAGGAGAAACAGATCTCCAGGGGAAAAAGTCAGTTACATACATGCATACAAACATACAGATGAAACTAATAAAAGCGTATTAAAAAGTGTTTTACTCTCAACCATGATTCGTTTTTCGAAAAATTAATTTTTGAAAATAAGT